TCTGTACTGTTTCCAAGCCTCCCTATCCTGACTTGATCCTAGTAAAGAACCCCATGGTGGTTCTGAACTCACAATTTGCTTCTCTCTCTTTCCTCTCCTTGGACCTGAAGCCTTGTCAACATGAATGCCCCAGAACCATGGAAAAGACCAGCTGAGTTTCACCTCTGAGAGGGGGTCCCCGAGATGAGGGAGGATACAAGAGCGTACCCTTGTCCATGGCTGCACAGGGAAGCCCAGTGACAGGAAAGATGCTGGAAGTTCTGAGCACCAGATGTTAAGAGAAAGCTGTTGGGGCAAAAGAGCTGGAGACCTTGTCCTGCTGGAGAGCTGGGGGCCAAGATGGAAACTTAGTAATTCCCCTATTGAGGTTTAGAACATCAGCTGGGAGGCTAAGTACAAGGCCAAGTTAAATCAGCAGGCTCAGCTCAAGTATCATCTCTCTTCCATGGCAGTTTCCCAAGCCAGAGGCACTTTTTCCCCCAGTCTCTGCTTCTGTGTCTCTCTAACCTCCAGTCAGTTTTGTTTTTTGTTTTTTTTGTAATTCCCCTCTGCCCTGATTATAGTTAGTGTACGACTCTCTCATCACCCGCCTGGGAGTCATTTCCTTGAATGCAAGGACTTGGCTTTGCCTCCCTCTCCCTTCCACCCTACCTGACCCTTTGCGTAGCACATTCAGATTTGTTGAATTGCAGTAAGGTTCTCTTTCTTAAGATCCAGTAGAGGGAGTTGGTTTTGGGGTGATGGCTCAGGGACTGAGACTTGGGGGACTCAAAATGAGAGGCTGGACCTGGTTAATTCGAATCTGAGGAAAAGCCTTTTGCATCTGGGCACCTGCCTCTCCTGACCCTTGGCTGCAGTTCAGCACCAGGCCCAGAATCTCTGAGGTGCGGAAGTGTGCTTTTGAGTTTGCTATGGGAAGTCTGCTCTATGATTTTGTTGGTCATTTTGAAATTAGGCTGTCTTCAGGCTCAACCACGAGTCTTCCAGCTCAGGTCTGGGACAGCCAAGTCCCATCATTAGTTCTCATCCTGGCCTCTTTCAGACAGGAAAATGGCCTCTAATGGAGATGGAGGAAGCTGAGTGTTCTAACTGGGGGGGGGGGGGGGGGGGGGGGGGGGGGCAGCTTCTCCAAGACAGCATTAAGGTATAACTTAGTTACAGAGGACACAGACTCTCCTGGTTCCTCATCACACCCCATCCTTAGAGCTCACCTCCTATCCCTCTATTCATTGTACATACTAAACCCTGAGAACATCAGAGTACAGACTCCCCAGACCTACTCATTGGGCTGTCGGCTTCGGACACAGATCCCTCCTTATCACACTCAGTGTCACTCAGCAGCATTAAAATTCTAGACCCTGGATGGGGAGGGCTGGGGAGAGGTGGGGGCTCTAACTTACTGCACTCGAATACTACTGACCATTCCAGAGTTCCTCATCTGGGTGCCGGGAGCCAGGTCACAACATTCTGCTCTGTGTCTTTCCTCTGTCTTCCTTTTGACTTGCGTATCCTCCCACCACCATTTGAAGAGCCCCAAGAGAGCCATGGAGTATTGGTTCTCCATCGCCTCTACCTCTCTTCTCCTTCATGTCCCTGGGGCAGGCTCCCTGCTCTACTTTCTCATTTCTCAGCCCAGAGATTATGCAGGGAGGTGGTGAGTTACCTTGGTTCTCTGGCTGCCCTGAGCTTCTCTGGCCCATGCCTCCAACCAGGAACCGCTGACTGTCTCCTGAAAGGAAATTGAAAGCAACTGAAAGAGAGCCCCAGGGAATAAGAACTGGCCTGGCCTGTTACAGTCTCTGCTCCTGCTTTAAGCCACTGCCTTACAGCTGGATTCAACGGTCTTCCCAGCAGTAACGTGGTTCTGAATGGGGAATGGGGGAGTGCTGGAAATGCAATTTGTCCTGTAAAACTTTTGGACAATAGTATGCATACCTGTGTTTGATTTATTTATTTTTTTATTTTTAATCCTCACCTGAGGAAATCTTTCCATTGCTTTTTAGATAGAGTAGAAGGAGGAGAGAGAGAGAGAGACAGCAGTTGGTTGCCTCCCACATGACCCTCACTGGGGCCGGGGATCAAACCTGCAACCCAAGTACGTGCCCCTGACCAGGAATCAAACCCAAGACCCTTTGGTCTATGGGCTGACACTCCAACTGCTGAGCCACACTAGCCAGGGGTGGTGCTTGATTTTTTTTTTTTTTTTTTATCCTCACCCGAGGACATTTATCCATTTTTTGTTCAGATAGAGTGGGAGGGAGAGAGAGGAAAAGAGAAAGAGAGAAACATCGACGTGAAAGGGACACATCGAGTGGCTGCCACCCGCACGACCCAACCAGGGCCGGGGACAAACTGCAATCGAGGTACGCGCCCTTAGTGGGAACCGAACCAGGGTCTCTCTGGACTGCAGGCTGATGCTCTCACTGCTGAGCCAAACTGGCCAGGACATGTGCTTGATTTTTAAAAAGAACCTACAGCCCTGGCTGGTGTGGCTCAGTGGTTGGAGTGTCAGCCCACATACCCAAGGATTGTGGGTTTGATTCCTGGTCAAAGGTATGTGCCTGTGTTGCAGGTTAGATCTCCATCCCCGGTGGGGGTGCATAAGGGAGGCAACCAATCAATATGTCTCTCTCACATCAATGTTTCTCTCTCTCTCTGTTCCTCCCTCTCTCCCTCCCTTCCACACACTCTAAAAATCAATGGAAAAAATATGCTTCAGTGAGGATTAACAAACAAACAGAAAAGCGTGTTCATTGTGTTGGATTTCGAGTGGAGGCATCCTGTGCCGTTGCTCTGGGGGGACGTTTGGGTCTCTGAATGAAAGTCTCTCTGTGATTTTCCCAGTACATTCCCTCCAGCCCTGGCAATCCACTGTGGTTGGGAGCAGCAGAACACGGAGGGCTTATTGCTCTTCAGATTTCATGTCTTAAGAAAATGTACAAGGACAACGGAATATGTTTCATTGCTAAACAGCCAAAGTCATGTATTTTTAAGTGAAAAATTAAATTTACATGGCAGGCTTAGTCCTACAGATAAGGATTAAGACAAAATGTTCCTGAGATGGATCTAAAGCCAGTACTCTCCAGAAAATTGAAGGTAAGCTGTGATGCACAGAGAGGCTGCTCAGCAACCAGCTCGGGAGAGAGGCGACAGCAGTGGCAGGGTCTGGGCTGGTGTGGACGAGGACAGGGGTCTCATCACAGACGCTGGTGCGGAGAAGGGCTTCCGGTGGGTCTTGATGGAGCACTTTTAGTATTTAAACAGTGTCAATTAATGAACAGCTCCCAGATAGGTCCATCTTAGGTAGGAACTGACTCCAGACCGCAATATGGCTCTTGTTTGAACCAGCCTGGAGAGTAAAAGCAAAGTAAAAGCAGAGAAAGCCAGAGCTGGTACCAGCTCCTTATGGCCTCTGCACAGGGCTGGATACTCGCTCTCCCTGCCAGTCCTATCTGCCCAGAGATCCCAACAGAGCAAGACCGGAGCTTTGTCCTAGCACTACAGAGGTTCGGCATCTCAACAAGGGGATGACTTGGTTGTTCTTGCACAGAGAGGCAGTTTTAGGTGCTTCCGAGCATCCCCTGACTCTCTTCCTACCCCCGAAAAATCAGAAGATACAGAGAAAACTTAGGATTGTGGGTTTCTCTCTAAGAAATTGAGATCCACAGTGGAAACTTGCAGGCCACGCAGTGTTTACTCACTGATGGTGTTGGTGCCCGGTGGGCTGTGTTGGCGGTGACAGGTGCAGTGCCAGCTCTGAGACTGTGCTCTCGCTGTGCTGTGTGGGCGATTAGTGACCAGCAGTGTGTTTTAGGGTGAAGAGGAATGATCAGCATAACATCTGTATGACAAGGGAGCTATTGTCAATGTGTTTCGGGAGCTATTAACCCCATTTTTACATCTTTATTTTATAAAGTAGGCTTAAGAAAGGAAAGGAAGATAAACTCAGATGTTTACTCTGCCTCTCCAACGATTTACCAGGCCCTCAGAGACAGCCAGGCTGTTGCCCTTGACCTAGTAGAGGCTATTTTACCTAAGGTCCTTGAGAGACTGCAGAAAATGCAAGCATCATGACTCTGAACCGTGAGCTAACAACAAACAAAAACAGACTCACCAACAGCCTTGTATGTAACGACTGCTTCTTTCTGTTTGTGAAGACCCACCGGTAATGCACATTTCCCCGAAAGGGGAAACTTCTAACCCAAACCAATAAGCTCATAGGGCGAAGAGTAAATTCTGTTAGCAAATACTTGGTTTGCAAATCTCGGTATCCAACCTTCTCTGACTGAACCGGCAGGTGCGTTTATAGCGGCTTACCTTCCCTTTCATACCCACAGTGTCTATTACAGAAATACGCCCTTCCCACGGATCAGTCATCACCTGCGCGGCGTCACAGAAACCCAGGCGGTGCTGTCGCCTGTCAGCCAACGCAGCCCGCTGCGAGCAGACACGGCCTGTCACTCACATCCTCACGAAATCAAAAACTATGTTCTTGTGACTAAGTGATTTGATTTGAACCAGTAAGAATATACACCCGTATAAAGCTATAAGCCAGTGACAGGAAAGTCTGTGAAACTTAGAGAAAGGTTCATTCTTCTTCAGGAGATACAGCGCTGTTTCCATTTCAGGGCGATATTATATATACAAGTGAATAATTTCATTTTTAACCCAGTCTGAACACATCTTTACGCTCAGCCCGCTGAATAAGCTTTTTAGTGGCGTATGAGTTTAGAAAGCGTGTTAGACCTTTAAAGCTCCAAGGTCACATGTAGTCAGTTTATCTCCTGATAACCAGGCCTCAGTTTGGGGCCTCAAGCCTTGGGGAGCAGCTTACTCACAGTGATGAACATATTGAATTTAGGCCGAACAAAACAAAACAAAACCCACAGATTTAAGCTTTTAACAGTGCATAACAGTCTACCTACATCCCAGGCACACGTTTCTGGAAGACCCGTAGCTAATGAGGTTATAACTTTGTTCTCTCTTGCTCTTCACTGAAGGCATAATTCAATCCGAAGACAACTCAACCTGTCAAACCCGGACTTCAATATCCAGCAGCTGCAAAAACAGGAACAGCTGGCCGGAATCGGTCGCATTAAACCAGAGTTATACAAGCAGAGGTCACTGGATAATGATGATGGGAGAAGGAGTAACAGCAAAGCCTGTGGAAAGCTGAACTTTATTTTGAAATATGACTGTGACTTAGAGCAGCTCATCGTGAAGATTCACAAAGCTGTCAATTTGCCCGCCAAGGACTTTTCTGGAACTTCAGATCCTTATGTCAAGATCTATTTGCTTCCCGATCGGAAAACAAAACACCAGACAAAAGTCCACAGGAAGACCCTGAACCCTGTGTTTGATGAAGTGTTTCTGTTTCCAGTTCCCTACAATGACCTTGAAGCGCGGAAGCTGCACTTCTCTGTGTACGACTTTGACAGGTTCTCTCGCCATGACTTAATTGGCCAGGTGGTGGTGGATCACTTCTTAGACTTGGCTGATTTCCCCAGGGAATGCATCCTTTGGAAGGACATCGAATATGTCACCAATGTAAGTTCAGCATTTCTTCTTTTTTGGGGTGGGGTGGAGGTGCTTTCTTGGTCAACATGCAAACAAATTACTTAACCTTATTTTATTTGGGGGGGGTGTCAAAATATAAAATCCATGTCAATATACGTAAAGCTATGGCTTCAGACCTTCCTTGTACCTTTCTAGAAACAGGTCTTTTTAATATTCTCTCTGAAATTTGCAAGAATTATTGATGAAAACAATATTCAAGAATAACCTTTGTTGTTTTCTATTTTCTAATTCTTAGCTATTCTCCAATAGACAGTAGATATTATCTGCCCTCCTTACCACATTTTCTTTAGAGCCGTCTTAGAGCGCGTGTGCTAAATGGATCCTGGCATCCTATTGACCATGATCTGCAGATACAAGCATTAAGTCCTTACCCATGTTCTCAGGTCAGCTCAGCTCGGTAGCATTGCTCATGATCAGATCTTCCCCTTTAACCCCGGAAGTGAGAATGGTTGAATAGAGTTGGCACCACATTTTCAAATAGTGAATCAAAGCTACAAGAAGAGCAGTCTGAAAAGATCTACAGATACTGGCAGCACTAATCTATAGAAGGTCCAATCCAATTTAGAGTTCATGAGCGGGCAGAAGTGTCAGGTAGTGAGGCCATGTATCCGTGCATACGTCTGCTACACGAGGTTGCAGTGGCTATGTTTTTACTCCACTTATACCCTTTACATTGTCCTACAGAGGTGTACTGACACTCCTAGGTCAGAAAGGAAATTTGGACTTGCTTAGAAAACTCAGATATTTGAATGCCACTTGTTTCTTTCACCTGTCCAAATGCCCTCAGGTACCCATTCGCTTGTCTTCTGGAATATGGGCCCGTCGGAGGCCTTTTCTTCTCCCTTTCTTGCTCTGCCAAGCATCAAATTCTTGCTCAGACCATGATTCAGCTCATTTTGGAGCCATCAAGTGAAAGACTCTGGCTCTGCTCAGGAAGAGAACACACACATTCTCTGCCCCTTGACCAAACAACCACCCGAGTGCTTTGTCACCATGTTGGGCACCTTCTCTTCACATGCCACCAGTCACCAGTGCCAGTTTTGTTCTGCTGCTCAGAAGAGGGAAGTGCAGCGTGGGGTTTTGGGGTTTCACTGGCTGTGATCACAATGATGAGGAAAGAAGGCGCTGAGAGCATCAGGTGATGAAACTGAAGTGATTTGCGAGATTGGGAAAGGAACAGATCTCTTCAGTCTTGAAAAGTGTGATATCTATAAGCCAAAAAATTGATGTGGGGGGAAGCAAGGGTTATACTTATTCCCAAATCAGTAGGCAGCACGAGAAGCTCTATAGAAACAAGAGGGGCAGGCTGTTCTACTGCTCAGCATGGCTCAAGAATGCACCCTCTCACTGGAGTATTTGCCAAGTCCTGTTGGGTATATGCTGAGACAGTGATGAGCCCTGGCACAGGAAGGTTGATCATACCATCTAGCGTGACATCAATTTATATTTTTTGACAAATGAATTCCATAACATAGCTGGAATTGTCATTAAAAAGCTCAACAGGGATCCGGCTGTCAGTTGCCTTCCAGAGACTTTGTGGAGAGAGCAACACGGAGCGGAGAGTGGCTAAGAGTCTGGGCAAGGCTGATCCCTGGTGGGAACACTTCCAGGTCAGCTTCCCACGGGAGAAGAAAGAATGGCAGCCTGCAGGACCTTTTGCCCCCCCCCCCCCCCCGGGACTAAGAGTTTCCTGTCCGTTGCTGGAGAAGTCTTGATTTCCCCAGAATTTGTGAAGAATGTTAAATTATTTATCAAGGAGGAAAACCAATAAGGCTAAAGGCCTCAGAATTCTCAGTTGTTTCCTCAGGCAAAAAAGTAAATATTCTAAGCATTGATCTGAGCCTTTGGATGGTCAGCAGGAGAGAGGATATCCTGAGAATGGAAATACAGATTATTTTTTTATCCATCATAAATTTTAAAAATTTCATTCAAAAATTATTATTTGGGACTGTGTTGACTGTGCTTTCTCAATGTGACTTTGTATGGAGACTGAGATTTGCCAGGGTTTCATTTTGTAATAGCATGCATGGAACACAGTGTATATAATGTAAATATAGCGAGTAATGAGGGAATTAAATAAACAGGCATGAGCCTGCCCCTCAGATGAAGAATAGAACATCATCAGTAATTTGGTGACTCTTGGGTTCTCTCTCATCACATTCTCTCTCAGTCCACTCCTGCCCAGAGGAACTACCCTGAATTTAATTATTGTGACATATTTGCAAGACAATGAATTCTTTGGTTTTGTCTCTTTCTGATTTTCATAGCTCTTCTTTGACTTTTTTTCCCTAGTTCACATTGATTTTGACATTTAAGAATGGAGATGAATAGAGCTGTGGTTAATGTATTTTCATTATTGTGTAATATTCCATTTTGTTACATATGACAGAGTAGCTTTCTTGTATTGATGACATTTGGGTTGGCATTAGTTTTCCTATGATTCTGAATAATACAGCAGATAACATTTTTGTGCACGTTTCCTGGTTCACATACACAGTAATTCCTGTAGGGTGTGTCTCTGGTAGAGGTAAGGTATACACGTGCTCAACTTTTCTAGGCAATGTCCAGTTCTTTTCCATAGTGGCTGTACAAATGGATCCTCCCACTGGTGAGAAATGATACTTCCTAATGCTTCATGTTCTCACCAACTCTTGCAGTTGCCACACTATTGAATATGTGGGTATGTACATGCACAAAAAATGGTATATAATTTGTATTTTCATGGTTGCCAAGGTTGACCATCTTACAATATGTTTATTGGCCATTAACATTTTCTGTCTTGTAAAATGATTGTTCAACACTTTTTTTTCTTTCTTTTTCCTATTGATTCATATATGCTCTTTATATAGTTTGTATGTAAGTTCTTGCTGATGAGGTATATTACAAGCATTATCTCTCTGTTTATGGCTGTCTTCGCACCCACTTCATGGTATCTTTTAATCAATAAAGGTTCTTATGTTTAATGTACTAAAACATGTCAATATTTTCCATTGAAAATTAGCATGTTTATGTCTTATTTAAGGAATCCTTCCTTACTCTACATCACAAAGCTATTTCTTCTATTTTCTATTAGCAACTTTAAAGTTTTGACTTCCCTAATTATGATTTTAACCCACCCAGAATGAAATTGTTTGTATAGTTAATACAGGCATTCTGTATTAGTCAGCTCTGGCTGACAATAGTATAAACTTCTAAAACAACAGGAAGTTATTTCTCAGTTCTGGAAGCTGGGAAGTCCAAGGTCAAGGTGCCAGTTCATTTGGTTTCTGGTGAGGGGCCCTCTTCCTGGCTTATAGACTGCTGCTTCTCACTGTGTCCTCACATGGTGAAGAGAGAGAGCTTTGGTCTCTCTTCCTCTTACAAGGACACTAGTTCCATCTTGGGGACCCATCAACATGACCTCTTCTAAACCTAATTATCTCCTAAAGGACCCACCTGCAAATACCATCACATTGGGGTGAGGGCTTCAACATGTGTATTTGGTGGTGACATGAATATTCAGTCCATAGTGCATCCATATTTCTTTTTCCATATGGATAACCGATATTCTGGCATACTTTCCCAATAATCTGTAGTGCATGCTCTGTCCTAATAGATTTTGATATATGAAGAGTCTGTTCTGGATTCTTTTCTATCCATTGTTCTGTTTGACTCTCTCTACCAATAGCGCAGCTTGCAAGCTACTATTATTCTATGATAAGCCTTAACATCTGGAGGAGCAAATCAGTCATCAAACCTCTTTTCCTTCAGTTCAATCTTGACTGATACTTGACATTGCTCATAAATTTTAGAGTCAAATTGTCAAATTAAATGAAATTTTTTCTTTTATTTGTTTGGACTTGTCCGAGATTAATTTAGGGAAGTTTTATGTCATTTGCAATATTGAGTCTTCTATCTGTGACTATCATGCATTTCTCCATTTATTTAGTTCTTTAAAGGTTTTCATCCAAGGCTTATAATTTCTACATGAGGATCTAGGATGTCTCATTAGATTTGTTGCTAGATACCTTTTTTGTTATTTTTAAATAGTATCTTTTCTAAAATTGCCTTTTCTGACTAATCCTGCTCTACAGTAATACAGTTTGAATTTTGTGAATTTGTCTTCTATTTGTCAACCTTGCAAAACTCTTAATTCTCATAAATAGATTATGGATTCTTCTAAATTTTCTTTATGGATATTTAGTCATGTGAATTATGATGGTTTGTCTGTTTCTTTCTAATTTATATACCTTTTATTCTTTAAGAAATTTTAATGCACAAATTAGAAGTTCTAATACAATGCTAAATAATAAGTATGGTAGTAGTCACCCTTGATTTTTTCTTATTTTAAATGGAATGTTTTTTAACATTTACATTAATGCAATTTTGCTCTAGATAGTTTTTTGATGTCTTTATAATATTAAAATGTATCTCTCTATTCCTAGTTGACTAAAACTTTATCACAAACAGTTGTTTTATCAAATGCCATGATCCTGTGAGGTTTTTCCGCTTTGATATGCTACTTTGGTCAATTACATTAATTAATTTTCTCATTTTGAGCCAATCTTATATTCCTAGTAGGATCCTGATTGACTTTGATATATTACCTGTTTTATACATTGCTGAGCTCATTGTGCTATTTTTTTTTTTTTTTTTTTTTAGCATTTTTGGCATTTGTGTTTATGAGTCATACATGTAATCTACTTTCTCGTATGGTCTGTCTCTGGGTGGGGGTCAACGTGACTCTTGATTTATAAAATTGGTTGGGTGTATTATTTTGGATACATTCCATTTGCTTCTGCTCAGTGCCCCTGGAGGCTTTGGGAGTTTTGTTTATGTTTTCTTCAAACTGAAACGATCTCCCTTAGTCAGTGGCTTCTGATTAGGTTCAGACAATGAGGAAGGGAGAGGAGTGAAATTGGAATATTTATTTCTCTAGATGCCTTCTTTGGGTTCTCCACAGGCTAGCAATAATCTTCAACAATCAGCCA